GTTCTTTTTTTAATTCTGTTTTCACACAGCCTAAAAACTCCTGCGCGTCATGCATCCTCAAATTCCAGTTGGCTCCGTAAGCCAAGGAAAAACATTCCTCGTATCTGACTAAGTCGTGACCGAATAAGGAGAGGAGAAGAGTCCGATCCCGAAGAATGAGTTTCTTCTTCATCTGTTTTTATTTTCTTTTCCAAGCCATCTCTTTATCTATTTGTTCTTTTCTCTGTTGTTACGGTTTTGTCTCTTTTTTTTTATTTTTTACGGTTTTGTCTCTTTTTGTTTCGTTCTTTTTTCTCTCTTTCTCCCTATAAGTAAAGGAGGGAATTAAATTCTAATGTAAAATAGAGAATTAAATTCATAGCTTTAGTCTTCAACAAACTAGAAGAATACCCCGCACATTGCCGCTGGACTTTGAAATAAAACGTTTGTAGAATATTAAATTAAATTATAGGAGAATGTGGTAGGAAAACAAATAGTACAATGTGAATATCTTGCATGTTAATAGACTAAAAATAGTAATTGCATTAAGTGGAAAATGTTGTAGCAGTTATTAAGGGGATGATGTGGCACCTAGTGGAGTATGCCATATGGTGTCCTGCATGTGGAGATTGAAAGATATTGATATTTGATTTTATAAGAGATATAGATAGATATAGATAAATTTCACCACCAAACTATTGTTGTGTTAGTTTTCGTGCACAAGTTATCCTCTTTAATTGTTATAGTAGATGCTCAACATGCCTGCAATATAATAACCAAAAAATCAAATCGTTATCATTTTTTCAAAAGTTAAGCAATAAATCAATATTTTTTTTGCCTCTATGCTATATCCACCAAAAAATGCATTGTGGAGTCTTATACAAGACTAGGTAGCGTGTCCGTACGTTGCTACGGGACAGCTAAACTTTTATACTAAAAACACACGTATCGCACGATAAGATAACAATACTGTGAAATTAAATACCGACGTTAAATTGATATTTAATTAAAAAACAAAGTTCGTGAAATGAACATAGGTCATGTTTGGTTACCCCTCCTAAAAGTTTTAAGAGCTAAAATCTGGATAGAATTTGCCGAAAACACCAAACAGTTCCTCCTAAAAGCTCCTAAAAACTTTAGGAGGGGTCAAAAACTTTAGAAGCTCCACGTGCGAGTGGGTCATCGGGAGCTGCCTGGGCGCGGTCGCTCGAGCTCGTGGGTGGAGGGAAGCCGGAACGCGGTTGCCGGAGCTCGTGAGCGCGGCCTTCCCCGGATGTGGGCGCCGTCGAGAGCTGCCTTGGTCGCTAGGGCACGGGCGGCGCGGCCACCGGGCTAGGCGCGACGCAGCGGCACGGGCGAGCGCGTGGACGCTTGTCGTCGGATCTGGGCTCGAGGCTGGGCACAGGGCGCCAGCTGCCGGGGACGGGACGCGCCACCGGGGGCTTGGGCGTTGGCCGTCGGGCTTCCCTTTTCTTTTTCCCGTGGCCGTAGGAAGAAGATGGCAAATAGAGAAATAATGGACAAAGGCTAAGGGGGCCGGCCCCCGACGCCACCCGTGCTCCGCCACCCCGTGCTCCCCGACGGGCAGGGGGAAGCCCGCGACCAAGACGAGGCGGCGGCGCGTGGTGGAGCTGCTCACGCTCCCGTTCGTCGAGATGGCCACCTCCGCGGAGACGGCGAGGATGAGGAGACCTAGGGCCACGACGGGAGCAGAGAAGGAGCAGGGGTAAAGAAGAGGGCTGCATGGTCTTTTTACTAGTGCATTTATTGCTTTTAGTCAGTTTTAGGATGTGGAACTAAACACTCTTTTAGGAAGTTTTTGCAGCCTCCTAAAAGCTCCTAAAAATTTTAGGAGCTTGGAACCAAACAGGGTCATAGTCACGGAGAGCGCGGCATCGCAGGCTCACAAGCTCTAATGTATGGACCTTTCCGTGATGCGGCTAAAATAATATTTTGTATCGGCAGCATGAAATCTCCGATATCATTTTCTTTCATGCGCCAATAAATTCACGAATAAGTTCCGCGGTATCTCTGTACCATCCTGTACATAGGTTTGAGTATATGTGTAAATAGTGGACATGCATGTGCGCCACGCATGTGTCTATATTTTTCTAAAAAAAAGAGAGAAATAACAATAGAATCTTCTAATTCCAACTTACATTAAGTTTACTTTGATCTTTGGGAGTTTGTAGAAACGGAAATTTGCTCTCCTTTTTTTACTGTAATATATATAGTTACAACTTACAATGAGTTTGCTTTGATGTTTGTGAGTTTGTAGAAATTGAAATTTCATCTTTTTATTTTACTGTAATAATATATCTTACTTGGAGATACTTGAATCATCCCTATAATTACAGTATTTGATGTTGAGTTGGAGATTGGAAAATATAAAAAGCGATTTTTATGGAAACGTCTCTCCAAATAATAATTTAGATAGTAAATTTAGAAAGACTCTTGAAGATGCTCTAATAACACTAAAAAATGTAAATCTAGGTCCCAAAGATTCAGTAATCTAATAGTAAAATAGGAATCACTTTTTAGATATTGGTTTTAATTCAGGGCATCAAACAGGTCCTAATCTATTTACGGGCTTTCTCCTTTTCTCCGGCAAAATAAGTAGTCCCTTTTCTCCTCCTGGGGCCAAAAATTGCGCGTGGGAGCGTTGCTGGGCCAGGCATTCTTCGTAGGTGAACGGCACGGCGCCAAATCCATCACAGGCGATGGGCGGGCCGCCGGTCCTCTGAGGAAGCGAACGGCCCAGGCCAGGATACCAGCGCTCAACGATCAGTTGCGCTTAGATCACATGGAGTGGAGGAAAAAGCAGATGCTCGAGCTCGACAGGGAAGGAGGGAACCCGCTCTTCTGGCATTTCAGGTGACAGACAACTCGGGCCTCTGCTCTCCTCCGTCAGCGTCGACCGCCAGTGCTCTGCTTCATTGCCATCTTGGACATTTTTTTTTTTTTGAAAAAGGCCATCTTGGACTTTGGTGGAGCAACAAAAACGAGGTGTCTCTTCGTTGCAAGCTACCCGTCAAACGGTTGCTGCAAATGCAGTTGCACTTACACGAGCAATGCTCAACAGGCTGCAGAGCTCGCCGTACTGTAAACTCCATAGAGGCATGAGGTACCAATCTGACATTCTCAAGACATCTACAGATTTCAGTGGCAGCGTTTGATCCCCACATTGCCAAAGCCGATCGTTACTTGGCTTCTTGGCAAGCATCCTTGCTGAACACCATGGGCAGGGTGGTGTTGGTAAACTCGGTTTTGGACGGCCAGCTCACCTACTTGATGTGTACTCTTCCTCTTCCGCCAGGAGTTGTCAAGCAGGTAGACAAACGGAGAAGAAAATTTATGTGGTCCGGCTCTCAGAATGCATCAGCCTCCAGATACTTGGTGGCATGGCAACAAGTCTGCACAACCACAGACCTCGGAGGATTAGGAACTAAAGATCTGGCAACGCAAAATATTTGCCTACTTCTCAAACTCATTCATCGCCTGCATTCAGTTGAAGCTTCTGCTTGGGCCAAGTGGGTCAAACAACGGGCTTCTCTTTCCTCTATGTCAAACAACGCTGCTACCTCTTTATCAGGCGATCACATCGGTCGCCATTGACAGCGGTGACAGCACATCGTTTTGGTTTGATGTGTGGCATGGAAATGAAGCTTTAGCCGACCATTACCCCATTCTTTTCAGTCACTGCAGAAATCGTGAGGCTACCGTCAAACAAGCAGTATCTTCCCTGCTCCAGAATGCTTTTGTCAACCGCCTTTAGAAACCACCAATCTTGGCAATGAGGACGACGAGCGCCTTGTCTCCTTTCTGCCTAGGAAATGGAAAGTTCGACACTGCTGGAATATATAAACTTCTAAAATCACGGACAGGTGATCGGGACCCAAGCTCGAATTTCATCTGGAAGAGTGCTGCGCCGCCGAAGGCAAAATTCTTTCTCTGGTTGTTGGTGCATGGTCGAATTCAGTGCCGGGCCAATCTTCTCCTCAAGCACATTGTTGACTCAGCAACCTGTGAAATCTGTGAGGAAGCTGATGAATCCACAGAGCACGTTATCCAGGGGTGCCCTTTTGCGGTCTCTTTTTGGGAAGCAATTGGGGTAAGCATGCCATCCCGAAGGCCTATCAAGGAGCTCCATACAACAGAAAGACCTGATCATATCCCGCAAGAGCAATTTGGGATGTTTATTAATCTGTGTTGTTGGCAACTGTGGAAGCGGCGCAATGGTATAATCTTCCGACACGAAGCTTTAACCAAACGACAAGTACTGCTGGCTTGCAAGCAAGAAGCAGAAGTTTGGAGATTCAGACTGCCGCCAGGCAAACGTCAGCTAACAGATCAGTGGTGCCATACTTTTGATTCGGCAATGTGAGCGCTCACGCTCTGTGCGGGGTCTGAGGGAGGATGTCAGTGGCAAGCCTTACCCTCGCATGTGCAATGCGAGGAGACCGCGAATCGAACCCGGACCTTCCAAAAATTCAAAATTCCCTCCTTCAATGACGATCAATCTGTGATCGTCTCATCATTGTAACCTGTACTGGGTTGAGCCTGTTTGATTCGCCAGAATGACAGTATACGGTTTACATTCTCTGAGAAGCGCTCCGTGCCTCTTGACAGGTATCAGCTACAGCTGGTCAGGGCAGCAGGATGCTCAACTCTTTACAAGGCAAGGCTTTTGTTTGTTGCCTATACAACTTCTAGTGTCTCTATACGCTTGAAATACAAAATAAACAGATTGTTTGGTTGGCTGGTTCATATCGTTGCTGGTTCGTGAAAAAGTACTGCTGGCTGGTTTGTGTGAGAGAAAAATACTATTTCAGCTGAAAATTTACGATCGTTTACGACAAGCCACAGCCAAACGAACAGGCTGTTTATGCCATTTACATGATATCTGCTTAGTCTACGAGTCGATGGGCAGTAGATGCTACGCTACACGCACAGCAGGCATGCTGTCCACCCACTGCCAATAAACAAATGCAAAAATTACTAATGGCGTGGGGCTCCTGTTCTCATCTCTTCTGGAAGTTGAACTTCATGATGGCAAAACTGAACAGGAACGCGAAGAACACGGTCAGCCCAACGTGCACCACTGCGACAAGCCACAGGAAGTCGTGATGGAAGCCGAAGTAATCCGCGATAAATTGCGCCACGGTCTGGCCCGTCACTGAGTCCTCGAGTGTATGCGTGATGTCGCCGAACTGGGAGGCAACCAATCCGTAGAGCGTCCATGCGACTGGGCAGACCCAGCTGTACCACCTCCACCAGACAGGCAGTTTCTGAAGGAAAAAATTGAGTGCATCATGAGTAAATAAGAAATCTGTGAAGTGTTGAGGTCTGAACGCAATAAGGAATGGGAAATGGAAAATGCAAAACCAAGAGGAGAGTTACTTACAGGTCGGGGGATTAGATATCCTGAGAGGAGGTTCCAGATGTTGTAGAATGCCGATGAGATGATGGCTGCTATGCTTTCGTTTGGAGTCAAGCCGACGGCCATCATCCATAGAACTGTTACTGCTACCTCGTGTGAACACAGTTCGAAAAGGTTCCTACTGTGATACTGTAGCCGCTGTAGGTGCAGATGGCGCACGGCTCACCTGCAGCACTGTAGCCGTATGCAGAGGCCGGTGCAGAGTCAGCCCTGTATGTTATCTAGTTACTGTTACAGCATGTGCGCTGTACTAAGACTAGATGGATAGAGTTGTATAAATAAACTACCACGGTAACTCAGTAAAGAGAGTTCAGATTTGTCATCTTCCATGCAGGGCTTCGGCCAACGCTGGTGTCTTATACTGTGTGTGTATGCTCTGTTCTCTCTTTTTCTTCTAGCTCTAGCTATAGTACGTGGGGACGGACAACGTTGGTTCGTGGTCAACACAGCTAGTGGGTGCTCGACAACACTAACAAGTGCTCGGCAAAACTGGTAAGTAGTTCGCTCACCTGAGAACGTAAAGTAAAGCAGTGTGAAGTACATTAAGAACAGGTACCAGAGGAACTTGGCAACAGTCCATTCAAATCCAATCATTGAATAGACTAACACTCCATATAGCAAAGTCTGGACAAAAATATAAGGAAATTCAATCGCGACCTGCAAAAGAACAAAGCAAAATCGTTAGGTTCTTGGGCCAAAAGAATTCAGATTTCATCCTTCACGTCCACAAGCTTGTAACTACAATGGTGAAGAGAGTAACACAAATTACCTGTCCAAATGCATAAGGGAAAGCTGAGTACATGCCCGCTGCTCGTTCTCGGTAGAAGACTGTTCGCTCCACCACCACCACTGGTTGAACAGAACCAGAGTTCTGCATTCCAATGTATATAACTGCGGCGTACATGGATCCCATGGCATTTAACAGATCCTGTTGTTTTTTACTGCACCGGAGACACGAGTAAGGCGTTAGAAAATATACTTCACGGTGTAGCTATTATTGCTTTACAGATCTGCAGATAGAATAAAAGTTAGATGATATACGTTTTTCGTCCAAGGTCCCAGGACATGGTTCCAAACATGAGCTCAATGACGATGGTGAACAGTAACCTCACTGCTGTGTAGGATGGGTTCCTCCAATATGACTTTTTCTGCTTCCAGAAGCAAGCTAGGCACTGAGTAAAGAACGATCTGGAGTACTGTGTAGGGAAATTGAGATCACTAGAGCCAGGAGGTGGTGTGCTTAGCTCCTCTATGAGTGCCTTGTTCCTTCTGAAATAATGAAAATGAAAATCAGTTAGATTAATCGTTCAAAGACACCTATCCTCGGCTTTGGTTCTGCACTGCATGCCAGGAGGCTTACTGGTATAATTCTGATTGCCTGTAGATTTCACAAAAATCAACCCCAAGGATCTCTTCCTGAGAACTAGAGGTCACTTCCAACATCCACGTGGCTGGGTTATATCCATCCTTTATCTTGCTAATACCTTCAATTCCCTGAGCAAATAATAGGATTTCTCATTTGGTTTAGCAGGCAATTGGGGTTAAAACATGCAGTGATAACCGTTCATTTACTTCTCTTCTCACCTCAAAGTACTCGATCAATTTTGACGAATTCTGGCCCACTGGACCAACATATATCTCTTCTCCACCTCTCTTCATTAAGAAAAGCTGTAATTCAGACATAAACAAACAGTCAATATATGATCTTGTCTAACAATATCACCCGCTCTTACACACACACAAGAACAAGAAGAATCAGACACCTCATCAAACGCTTCAAATATGTCAATGCTTGGCTGGTGAATGGTGCAAACGACAGTCCTTCCAGTATTGACAGTGTTCCTTACAGTCCTCATCACAATTGCAGCTGCACGAGCATCAAGACCAGAGGTTGGCTCATCCATGAAAACGATCGAAGGGATGGCAACAAGCTCCACAGCAATAGTAAGCCTCTTGCGTTGCTCAATTGACAGGCCACTCACTCCAGGAAGCCCAACAAGTGCACCCCTCAGTGATGTGAGCTCTACAAGATCCATGACCTCCTCAATGAACATCTGTTATCATGAAGTTTAGCAGATAAGATCTACAATCATTTAAGGAGAAAAAATCCAAAATCTCATTATTTGCTTGTATTTGTTACTAACCTTTCTTGTTTCTAAGTTGACATCTGAAGGAAGGCGTAGCCATGCAGAAAATAGGAGTGACTCATACACTGTTACATGTGGAGAATGAATATCATTTTGCTCACAGTATCCTGATATGCGTGCAAACGTCTCTTGCTTCTTTGGATATCCTGAGATGGTAATATCTCCCTCGATATAGCCCCCAGTCTTTCTGCCAGCTAAGACATCCATAAGGGTGGTCTTTCCAGCACCACTAACACCCATCAATGCAGTTAGGACTCCTGGCCTAAAAGAACCACTAACACCCTTCAAAAGAAGCAAACGATCTTCTGTCACTCCTTGCCCTTTCATCGCCTGCGTGTAAAAAAATATGATCAGGTAAGAAATCTTGGCTATATCGTATATTTTTGTATTTCAACTTCATGGAAAAGAAAATTACCTCTGGCATGTCCACCGAGTATCTTACATCATTAAAGGTAAGTGACAATGGTGGAAATGGGAGTGCCATTCCCTTCCTGTTCTGACTAGAATCCTCACTGCTATGCACGGAGTTTTGGCCGACGCTGTGGAACAGCTCAAACTCCTGCCTCCTAGATTTCTTTTCCTTATGGCCCTCTATGACTTCACCGGTTAAGTTGGCATGTTTTTCTTTCAATTCCTCTTCAGACATTGATCCGTGGGAATCAGTGAATGCTGTCAGAAAAAGCAAGTGGCTACAGTTACAATCTTTTAACTCAAATCACTGAATCTCTAATTTTGGCTGTTATACACATAAAAAATATGTCTTATAAATATACTTACGACTCAAAACCGCAAGAGCTACAGTGTAGAGCAGGTTGAAGAGGAGAGTATATCCAACCAAGGCACCGAGCCCAATCCAATACCACTTAGCTTCATTAGAGACGCCGCGATTTCGAAGAACAACAATTCCCACGGTTGTTTCATTTTGAATCTGTACCAAGAAAACACATGTTTGTTTTTCTATTTACCATGTTGTTAATTCTTCTGCTGCTCAAGATATGGTGTACTTACTTTGCTCCAACTGTGCCCCAAAAATTCATTTGTTGAAATGGCATTCTGTGCATATGATAGAGGAGAGATCCAGTAACCCCAAATCCACCATTTCTTCACATCAGCTGGAAAAGAGAGAGATAAATCAAGATAAACATATAGACGAGAACATCATTCATTATTTTGAAACAAACAAGAACATCGATCATGTTATCACGGAAAGTTGAGTTACTTACGTCTTGCAAGTATAAAGCCACCCAGTGTTTGAAAAGTCAGCAGTGCTAAGGGGCCAAAGGTATGAGACACGACCATGTCTCTTCCAATTCCAACAATGAAGCGGAAAAGAGAAGATGACATCTGATTGAGTGCAAGGAGCAGCAGATACTGCTTAAAGAACCTGATGACAAACAATTGCTCAGACTTCATATAACAAACTTATTTATCATTCAATGTTCAATTTGATTATTTCTAATTAGAAAACAATTAAGTGTCATGAAAGGAGCATATTTCGTGGATTCCGAGACATAAGACATATGTTCTAATGCATCTTACCTGATCACACTGGGATCAAATCCAATGACATAGTATGTGGTGAAAACATAAACCCCGACTTCCAAAAATGTGCCTGAAGAAAAGCGGAAGCTTCATGACAGTCATGGCAAGCTCTGCGAAACTGTAACACCCCACCCCAGGCCCGGTGCACGGCACGGGCACACTCTACCTAGAGGTGAGCCCCACCTACGTAGCAACCCGCTTGCGTTTTTATCCTTGCTTCGCGTAAAACGGTTAACCGAATGTTACTATGCGCGTCTTTGACCTGAATATTTAAATCAGTCTGGCCGTACTAGAATTCAGAGTGGGGACTAAAGCTGGGGCACAGTGTCCGCGAGGCTACAGTAACTTGCACGAACAGTGATATACCAACAGTGCTGTGTTGCTACAGTACCCCAGATTATGGCCAGGCCCACCTCAGGGCTACAGCCTCGGGCCACAGCCCACGTGTATAGATAGAGTGCCTCGGCCCAACCAGAATTCAACCCATTTAGGCGGGACGTTACAGAAACCATTGAACATGATTGTGTCAAGAGCAAAGAAGAGTGCTCCCATGTAGATGTTTCCATAAGATTCTTCTGGTTTCATATTGGTACGGAAAAATGTGGTCATCACGATAAACGACATAACAGTAAGCTGCAACATAATGGAAAAGTTCAGATTGAAGCCATCTAATCTGTACCTTAATAATCAGAATAAACATATAAAAATATTGAGCTTACGTTAACAGACTTGAAAATATACATAAATGTGTTCCTCTTCATTAGTAGAACCTCCCTATCAATAGTGGCTTTGAGCAACTCCTTCCTGCTGACACCAAACTTTGAAGTAGCTAGAGCAGCAGGGTGGCTCCGGGCAGTGACGAAGCCAGAAAAAAAATTAGAAGGGGCTGAACAAAAGAATAGAGGCTTTTTTATCTTCTCTTAACCTTAGCCCCTCCTACCTAATACATATATACATAAAATTTTAAGGGAGGACTTAGGAGGCTCCACATGCCTATGATCGGTAGGGGGGGCTGAAGCCCCAGCCCCACCGCTGGCTCCGTTGCTGGCTCCGGGTCCTATCAAATGGCTCTGAAAGGTCATTTTGTATGGACCGGCCCACGTGGAATGTACTGAATGCATCTGCAAATTTCATCACAGGCACAAAACGGTATGGCCTGTCCTGCCGATACCAATACTGCCCCTGGTCTTTCCTTGATGTCACCTTTTGAATAAGTGAAACATACCAGTGCAGTTCGTCTTTAAAAATCAAAATCACTAGATGACAGGATTTATAGATGATGCACATACTTCCTTCAAGAAGTCAGCGACACCCTTTCTTGCAGGGCATCTGAAGCCCATGAACTCAAAGAACTCGAGCACATGTTCACGGGAGCCCTGGTATACAATATGCCCATCAGATAGGAGTATAATGTCATCGAACAAGTTGTATGTTTCAGGCGCTGGCTGGAGCAAGGAAATGACTGCAGTTCCACCAAGGATGTGGATAGTCTGCCTAAGCGAATTCACAATTTGGTATGTGGTTGAGCTGTCCAGTCCAGTGGATATCTCATCCATGAACAGAGCTCTTGCCGGACCAACAAGCATTTCACCTAAGTAGTGAAGACATGAGGATGTTAGAACGTGTTTTCGAGCGTTCTACAGTAAAATACAACAATTAGGGGGGGTGGAGGAAGGATGCCATGGGTTTGTATTTTGATCATTGCTTGTACCTGTTGTGACACGCTTTCGTTGACCACCAGAAATGCCCCTCATCATCTCATTTCCTACCACCGTATCAGCACAGACCTCCAACCCTAATATCTGCAGGTATATATAGGCAAGCAGCAGGCATGAGATCTCAATTTCATGATAACGAAAGTCATCTTTGTTGTGTTACAGCTAGCAGACTGTACCTTCAGTATGTAGTCTGCAACAATACTGGATTCCTGCTCACCCATAGCTGAGGCCTACAGAAGTTTATAGTTAAATAGCTGTTACCAAGTTGCAAATAAACAGGTAGGAGGTGATATATATGACTGTCCACATTAAGTGCTGAAACGTTCCTGTTTTATACTTGTATAAATAGTTTTATCAAGCACAGAATGCTCTTAAAATCTGTAACAGCCTCACCTTCATATAGACATCAATATCATGATCTGGCTTGATGTTCGCTGCCTTCTCCCTTCTCGCCAACTCAGTCAGCATTTCTAGAACAAGGCAAACAACAAAGCTTAGTACTAATCCAAGCGATGGCATAACCCATCCAGTGGTCTGAAATAAAAGAAACCACACGCGTACCGTATCTAGTGCCAACGCCTTGGCACCGCGCTGAGAAGGCCATGTTAGTTTGATCTCTACCAATTGGACCACTTGGATCAATGCTCTGATCGAGGGCGTCCAACCACTCTATGGTTGGTGGCCCCCCGTCGCACAGCACCATAAAAGGAAAGTTGGGGCCGGGGCACGAGGTTGACCTGAACCGCCGCAACCCTCCTACAGAGAAACCCTAACGCTAATCGATCAAGAGAGACGGTGCTGCCAGCGACAGAAAGCCGCCACCAACTTCACCGTCGCCTCTATATCACCACCACTGAACCGGACTTCACCACCCGCACTGCGTACCCGCTGTCGTGGTGGCTACTTCCTCCTCTACCTCCTCTGCCAAGCCCGAAGGTATGGCCCCTCTACTCTCCCTGCCTCCTTGTTCCAAGTTAACTGCTACTCGATTTGAATCAACCAGTAAGCATTTTACCCTCAGTACTACACCTAGATGAATCCTAAGAACCTTACATTGGTATCAGAGCCAGGCTTTCTAGGGTGTAGATCTTTGGGGTAGAAAACTGAAAAGAAATAGAAAAGACATAGAAGTAAAGGGTCCGATCGGGTTCGAATTGGAACCCTAACCCTAGTCGGGGTGAAGAAATCAGAAGAAAGAGGGTCCAATTCGACCGATTCGGATCGACCCAGACATGAACCCCAACCCTAACTCCGGAAAAGAAGTCGGGGAAGATGAACAGAGGGTTCGATCCCGAACCCTAACCCTAACCTAGAAGTAGGACGGAGAGGGGAGGGGACCTACCAGGGTTTCTCACGCCGCCGTCGCCACCGCCGTCGTGCGGGAAGGTGACCCCACCACCGCGCGGAATCCAGTCGAGCCGCACCGGCTCGTCTGCGTTTCGCTTCGCCGCGCGCGTGCTCAGCGCACCACCACAAGGCCGCTCGACGGCGACGCGCTCAGCCTTGGGCAAGCGCGCGAGCCGGCAAGGGGCCCCGCAGTGGCGCCGCTACCTTCCTTTTCTCCGGTCGCCACCGGCTGCCGTCGCGTTGTGGTCGTCTCTGACTGCGGCGCTGAGGAAGAGAAGGGGAAAGGGAAGAGAAAGGAAGAGGAGGAAGGGGAGCCGGACTTGGTCCGGTGCCCGTCTTCCTCACCGACGTCGACGGCCACCGTGGCCCCCGCCGCTGACGCCTGCTTGGCGTGAGAGAGTGAAGAGAGAGAGGTAGGGGTCAAGAGTGAACTAGGGTTCCAGGGAACGGCGTGGCTCGGACGTTTTGTTCAGCCGCGACGCACGGAGGACCGTCGGATGACATCCGACAGCTGACAGCGCACAGGCCGGCATTAGGGCCCAGGCGGGTAACGAGATTCCCGGCCTAGGCCCAGGTTGCGGCCCAGGCGCGGGGACGCGAGAGCGCGCGCACGATAGCAAACCGAGCTGGGTCGCGCGTTGCCGCTACGAGTTGGGCCTCGGGCTATTTTTTTATTAGTCCAGGCCAAATGCAGTAGCTGAAGTTTTTTTAGGATTTATTTTTCAAAAGTAGTTTTCATGTTTTAGGCTATGTTTTCATGTCCTATCTCTGTCAAAATTTGAACCAAGGGATAATTTTTTTCAGAGAGTAGATAAGCACAGTAAAATGCTTCTAAAAAGTAGACAAACTTTCATTTTTCCGCTGCAAAATTTAATGTTGATAATCTTCTAATTAAATTCGAACCAACGGGAGAATTTAATTCGAAGAGCAGTTATATTTAGTAAATTATGATTATGTTTATCCTCTAATTAAATTGAAACCAACGGGAAAATTTAATTAGAGGAATAGTCCATTTTTGTTTATGTAAGATTATGGTATTGTCATTTTCTGACCAACGTTGATGATGATAATATTATAATATTATAATAAGTTCAAGTTTGAGTTTTAAGTCCCTGATAAATTTTCACACCAACATGGTCAATTTTTCAGAGAGTAGATAAGGACCAAGAAATACTCCTGAACTAATAGAATGTATTTTATTAACATGCTTCCACTGAAATGAAGTTGATTATCTTTTAATTAAATTCGAACCAACGGAAGAATTTAATTTTAAAGAGTAGTTATATGTATTTCAAGTTGATTTATGAGTTCTATGCATTAATTCTATTTTCTGCCCAACAGTGATGTAGAATTGATGCAGAAGCACCTTGTATATTTTAATTCGTCGAGATCATTCGGCCGTATGCCAACGGGCTGCAATGCTGGGGTATGTGCATGAAAAGGCTTGAGTCAAACCAGTTCAGGATAATTTTTGTTAGTTTACTAATTTTCTGATTAAATTGAAATCAACGGGAAGATTTAATTGGAAATGAAGTATAAAGATTTAATTGGAAATGAAGTATAAGTGAATGTTTTAGTCGTTATGACTAAGTTTTCGTATAGATGTATCCCACATAGGGAGAAGTTTTTGGCATAGTACTTATACTAGTCAATCCTGCATGGCATGAGAAATTTTCTGATGATTCACATGTTTTTGTATCCCGCATAACGAGAGAAGTTAGGGCAGCTCTTATGCTGTCCTAGTATTGACCTTGGCACAATAGAAATGTGTAAGAAAAATTGACCCTAGATCCATTTACTTTGGATTTTGGTGTTTGATGACCAACATAACCATATTGGACTAATGAATTTGCAAGTGATTATTTTGTAGTTCAATAGGATGCAAGACGTGACTTGGACAAAGACGACGTGATGATCCGATGATCAACACCTCAAGCAAGACCTTAGGAGCACAAGAGAAGACCTAAGATATCAAGCAACGTCCAAGCATGAAGATAGAAACCAAGCCACACGCAAGATCGAGAAGAAACGAGCTCACTGCAGCGACCGGACGCTGACGAAAAGCGATCGGACGCTCCGATCAGAGGCTCAGCAACAGCAGCAGCGATCGGACGCTAGCGGTAAACCAACCGGACGTAGGACAGCAGTATCCGATCAAGTACAGAGAGGTTCCAGAGCGGTGAACTTGTGACCGGACGCGTCCGGTGGCAAGTGACCGGACGCTGGCAGCGTCCGATCAGTTGTTCACGGCTCCAATGGTCGGGACGACCGGACGCGTCCGATCAGGACGACTCCAGCGTTCGGTCAGTAGCAGAAAAGCAGGATTTTATCCCCAACGGCTACTTTCTCAGTGGGGTTTATAAATACAACCCCCAACCGGCCATTTGGATTGTGTGGAGCTGAGGAAACATACCAAGGGTATTGATACACCATTTTAGTGATCTCCACTTGCATAGTGCTTAGTGATTCATCAGGTGATTAGCGTAAGTGCTTTGCGAAGTGTTTAGGTTGATTAGACCACCGCTCATGCGCTTGCTCTAGATTTAGGCCTAGTGTTTAAGTGAGGTTTGCATACCTCTTACCACTCGGTGCTTGCGAGCATCGTTGTTGTACATCGGAGGGGCCTGTAGTCTTGCGAGATCACACCAATCGTGTTTGTGGTGTGGCCGCCACCGTGTACCGGAGGGAACAAGGCTCGCGGCGTTTCGACCGGAAGCTTGATAGTGAAGACGGCGGGGAGCATCTAGGAGAGGCTTGCCAGAAGGCACGTCGGAGGCCCACTTGCGCGTGAAGAAGGCCCAAAGCTATCCACGGAGTTACCCGACCGGGAGCTTGGCCCTTGCGAGGGATTCCTTGTGAGGGGCTTCAACGAGGACTAGGGGAAGCTTGCGCACTTCTCGATACCTCGGTAAAAATACCGGAGTCATCAACGGAGTTTGCATATCTCTACCTTGCTCTTTAGCTTCCACATTTACATTAATTGTATTACTCCTTTTGCGGTAGAGATAGCAACACACTAGCAAAACCATAGTTGCATATTAAGATAGTTTATCTTTTGCATAGGTTTTGCGAAGGTTACAAAAAGAGGCCATAGTTTAGAGTTAGATTTTTAAGTTGCCTAATTCACCCCCCCTCTTAGGCGTCACGGTCCCTTCAATTGGTATCAGAGCCGGTTGGCTTAATTTGGACCTTTGGCTTAACCGTCGTTGAGCCGACGCTACTTAGAGTGGTTGGGATGGATACCTCTAGGCCTTCGCACTTTGACGGCACTAACTTCCCCTATTATAAAGCTAGAATGTCTTGCTACCTTGAGGCGGTTGATTTGGGAGTTTGGAGAGTCACTTGTGACGGGATGAAACCCATTAAGAATCCCGATAAACCCACAAAGAGTGGCGAAAAGGAAATATATTTCAATGCTAGAGCTAAAAATTGCTTGTTCGAATCTTTTAGCATGGATATTTTTAACCAAGTGTTCACTTTAAATACGGCACATGAAATTTGGTTAAAACTCCAAGAGCTCCATGACGGCACAAGTAATGTCCGTGAGCAAAAACATTGCCTAGCTCAACAAAGTTATGATTCTTTTGAAATGAATGATGATGAGCTTGTTCATGATATGTATTCTCGTTTAAATCTAATAATCAATGAGCTCAATTCTATAGGATTAATAAATCTAGGTGATGCGGACATCGTGAGGAAGATTATCTCCGTGCTACCACAAAAGAAATATGCAAGCATCATCACCATCCTTCACAATATGGAGAACTTGAGTACCATGACCCCAACCATAGTCATTGGCAAGATAGTGGTATTTAAAATATCACGCAAGATGGGTCAAGAAGAAGCATCTTCATCAAGCAAAGGCAAAGCTCTC